GTCAAATCAATTTTGAGAAAGAACAGAGTTGGAGGCATCATACTTCTGATTTCAAATTATATCACAAAGCTATAGTAATCAAAACAATATGGTACTGGCATAAAAATACATAGGTTAGTGGAACAGAATAGAGAACCCAGAAATCAACCCAAGCATATATGGTCAACTAATTTTCAAGAAGGATGTCAAGAATACATATGGGAAAAGGCTAGTCTCCTCAATAAATAGTGTTGGGAAAACTGGACAGCAACATGCAAAAAATGAAACTGAACCGTTATCATACACCATATATAAAAATAGCTCAAAGTGGATTGAAGACTTAAACATAAGACCTGAAATCATAAAACTCCTAAAAGAGAAAAAATATGGGAAAAGCTCCACAACATTGGCCTTGGCTATGATTTTTTTGGATGTGACACCCAAAGCTCAGGCAACAGAAGCAAAAATAAGCAAGTGGGACAACATCAAACTAAATAGCTTCTGCACAGAAAAAACAATCAAATGACAACTTACAGAATGGGAATAATTATTTGCAAACAATATATATGATGAGGTTAATGTGGAAAAAACATAAGGAATTCATACAGTTCAACAGCAAAACAAACAACAGAAAACCCCCCAAACAACCCAATCAAAAAGTGGGCAGAGGACCTGAATAGACATTTTTCCAAAGATGACATATAAATAACAGGAATTTGCAAAGGTACTCAACATCACTAATCAAAGAAATTCAAATCAAAATCACAATGAGTATCACCTGACACGAGTTAAGATGGCTATTATAAAAAAGATCAGAGGTAAAACAAGTGTGGGAGAGGATATGGTGAAAAGGGTGGCATTGTAAATTGGTATGATACCCAGAGGGATTGCTGAATCATACGGTAGTCTTCATACTGTTTTCCATAATTGTTGTACCAGTTTATACCAATATACCTATTTTTATTCCAAATGATATGAGATCAGTACCTTGAAAATAGTTACCACATTTTTGCAGCATTATTAACAATAGGTAAGATATGGAAACTAACAATCCAGTTGGAGAATGATTAAAAAACATGTATCTCTGTGTGTGTGTATGTGTGTGTATCTACAAGTAGATCTATATCTATATCATCTATGAGTATTTAGTCTTGGGGGGAAAAAAAAGAAATCCTGCCATTGTGACATGGATAAACCTGGAGGATATTAAGCTAAGTGAAATAAGCCAGATACAGAAGGAAAAAACAAAGAAAGAAAAAGCATGCTCTCATTTATATGTGTAATTTAAAAGAATGAAATACATAGTAGAGAATAGAACAGGGGATACTAGGAGAGGGGAAGTGGAGAAAATGGGGAGATCACAGAGCACAAAATTGCAATTATGTAGGATGAGTCTAGATAGCTAATGCACAACATGGTGACTGTAGTTAATATTGTACTGGATATTGGAAATTTGCTAAGAGAATAGAGTCAGGTGCTCTGGTCATGAAAAACAAATGGTAACTATATTTCTTATGTAAAAAATAAAATTAAAAAATTAGGCACATGCCCTTCAGTGCATAGCCAAAAAAAGAAAAAAAGAAAAGCATAGATTATGGGTTTATTCCTGGCAGTCAATTCAACCCCATTGGTCTTTATATTGGGAAGTGTCATTCTCCAACTTTGTTCTTATTTTTTGAGATTGTTTTGCTATTTGTGGCCCCTTGTGAATTTGAGGATACACCTCTTGGAATTTTGATAGGGATTGTGTTGAGTCTGTAAATTGCTTTGTGTAGTATTGCCATGTTTAAAATATGAAGACTTCCAATACATGAACTTTTTTCCCCTTTAATTATGCCTTTAATTTCAGCAGTGTTTTGTTGTTTTCAGTGTACAAGTCTTTCACCTCTTTGGTTAAATTTCCTTCTAGGTATTCTTTTGGATGTTGTAAATGAGATTATTTTCTTAATGTTCTTTTGGATTGTTCATTGCTAGTGTGTAGAAATACAACTAACCTTTTTGTGTTGATCTTGAACCCTTCAACTTTGTGTATTAGCTCTAGATTTTTTGTTGTTGTTGAAAACTTCTTTATTAGGATCATGCCGTCTACAAATAAAGTTTTACTTGTTTTCCAGTTTGATGCTTTCTCTCTCTCAATTTCTTTGACTAGAACCCTCAGCACAATGCTGAACAGCAGTGATGAAAGTAGACTTCCTTGTCCTGTGCCTGATCTTAGAAGCAGTGTCTTTCACTGTAGAGAACATTAACTGTGGTTTTCCTTTTTTTTTTTCTAAATAAATGCCATTTGCTAGGCTGGGAAAGTCACTCCTATTCCTAGTTTTCTGAGTGTTACCAGGAAAGGATGTTGGATACTGTTAAAGGCGTTCTCTGCATCAAGACGGTCACATTCTCCCTCTTTATCAATGTGATATATCACATTGATTTTTATTATGAACCATCCCTGCATTCCTGGGATAAATCCCATTTGCTCATGGTGTATAATCCTTTTAATATTGTTGGATTCAGTTTGCTTGTATTTTATTTAGGATTTTTGCATTTTTATTCATAAGGAGTATGTAGTTTTCTTATGGTGTGTTTGTCTGGCTTTGCTATCAGGGTAATGCTAGCCTCACAGAATGAGTTAGAAAGTATTCCATCTATGTTTTTGGCTTCCTGCCTGATCCCACAGCAAGAGGACAGGATTACATGTTCTGAGAAGCCCTTTGCTGCATGCCTTTTTCTGAACTTTTTGAAGCAGCAGTAGTAGCAGCAAACACAGGAGAGCAAGATTGGAGGCATAGGAATTCTTCATAAGAGGAGGCACTTTAATTGGTCCTTAAGAAATTGGTTAAAATGACTGATATTTTGTTAATAATAATAGGCAAGATCTTTGAGTAGTTGGAAATGATAAATCTAGACACTTGGGGACAGAAGCCCATCTCTTCCTCAAAGGGGAAGGCAAAGGGTTAGGATGGGTGTGTGTGTATAGGGTGTGGTGCTGGTGCAGGAAAAGGGTCAGGATGCTGAGTACTTTCTGTTCATAGTAGAAATCTTCCAGGACTTAATCTGAGCTCTCCAATTAATTTTTTTCTTAGTTGCTAGCTATTTATATCCAGAGATATCTATTAAATTGTATTTTCTCCTTTAGCATCAACCTAATGAATTTGTAAGATCATGTAAGAGCAGAGTACACATAAAATGTTTGTATTTTATCAAATGTTTATGTGTATTTCTTAGATTAATGTAGTATTTTTTATTTTGCTGCTTGAGTTTGAGGTGTCATATCTAAAAATTCATTACTAGGACCCATTGTCAAGTTTTCCTTTTTTCCTCTACTTTTATGGTGTCTAGTCTTACATTTAAGTCTTTAATCCATTTACAGTTAATTTTTGTGAGTGGTACAAGATAGGGGCCTAGTTTCATTATTCTACATGTGAATACCCAATTTTCCCAGCACCATTTACTGAAGAGACTGTCTTTTCTCCACTGAGCATTGGCTCACTTGTCAGATATTATTCAATGGTATATGCATTGGTTGACCTCTGGGCTCTTGATTCTTTTCCATTGGTCTGTTTTTATGCTAGTACCATACTGTTCTGACTACTATAGCTTTTATTTAAATTGATTTTCCCCACCTTCCTACTACCCATTGGCATCACATAGAGCTTTATATTACAGCTTGAAGTCAGGAAGTGTAATGCCTGCCTCCCCCCGCCCCTTTGTTCTTCTTTCTGACAATTGCTTTGGCTATTTGGGGTAAGCTGTGGTTCCATATAAATTTTAGATTTTTCTACTTCTGTAAAAAATGCCCTTGGAATCTTGACAGAGATTGCATTGAGTCTGTAGGTAGCTTTTGGTAGTATTGACATTTTAACAAAATTAATTCTTCTATTCCATGAACTTGGGATATCTTTCCATTTGTATGATTTCTTTCATCAGTCTCTTGTAGGTTTCAGAATAGAGTTCACCTATGTTATTCTTATGCACTTTGTTTTTGATGGTATTATAAATGGAACTGTTTTTTCAGATAATTCTTTAGTGTATAGAAATGCTGTTGCTTTTTGTATATTAATTTTGTATCCTGAAGCTTTACTGAATTTGTTGAGTATTCCTAACAGTATTTTTGTGGAATCTTTAGGACTTTCTATTTGTACAATCATGTCATCTGCAGAGACAATTTTACTTCTTCCTTTCCAATTCTGATGACTTTTATTTCTCCTTGCTTGATTGCTCTAGCTAGGACCTTCAATAGTATGTTGAATAGGATGCGAGTCGGCACCCTTGTGAGGGGAAGCAAAGTCAGGAATGACCTATGTTGCCATCTTAGTGATGTCATTCTCATTGTTTTGTGTATGCATAATGTACTTTAATTAAAAAATAACAATTAGCTGAAACTTAAAAGTTTCTGGACAGATGTGCTGTTTATTACATGTACTCCCATATACCACTGGGTCAAAAGCAAGACACATGCCATATCCTGAGTGAAGCCAAGCAAGAGTGGGGAGAGAGAAAGAATTGTGTGCAAATACTATAACAGGGTACTTTATATTTCCTGAGGACTGCACCCTTTTCTATTGATTACCTTATATATAAATATTTGTTATTCTCAGACAGTTAAATTATATCCAGTTTTAAAGAATAAAAATACTTGAATACTATATATTAATGCATTTGCAGTTGATTTATAGTGGTAGTTTTTTTTTATTTCTACTGTGAATATACCTATTTTTAAAAATTTACCTAGTAGAATTAAGTGGCTTCAAATGAAAATTCTTTGAGCAGTGCTTCTCAAACTTTGGTATTCATCAGAATCACCTGGTAGGATTGTTGAAACATTTATTGCTGGGCTCCACCAGAGTTTCAGTAGGTCTTGGGTGGGAGACTCAAGAATTTGCAGTCCTAATAAGTTTCCAGGGGATGCTATTGGTGGTTCAAATAACTACACTTACAGTGTCAACAGCCTGACATTTTATTTTGGGGTTTTCCTATTCTGTTAATTTCTCTTGAGTTTGATGAAATGAAGCAAAACCACACACACTTGGTAAAACTCTTGGTGAACAAACTTTTATTCTAAAAATAGATCTTAGATCTTAGTTAACAATGAAATATCCAAAGCTGGTCATTATAATAAAAAGAAAAAAGAGGATTCACTTTAAATTTTTTCCTGAAAAATACAAAATTATCACTGCAGTATACTGCCAACTCTGATGTATCTGTATTTGAAATATTTATTTTACAAATTATCCAAGGAAATTTTAAAATCACTGATTGGATTCTACCTGATAATATATACATCTGAATTGCTTTTATCTTCAAGTAAATACATTCTCAAGGAATGCAAACAAAATGGAATGTTTGCTTTAAGTCAATATAATTAGGAAAAAATTAGAAAATATACTCCAAAGCAAAATATTGGTTTGCCTCCCTGTTTCCCTCAATTTTTGCACATAACCAAAAACACCTGACTGTAGAGAAATACTGGTATTTAAAAGTAGCAAATTATACAACTTATATACAGCACAGAAAACTTTTTGTGCTATACCCAAAGCACAGAAAACTTTAAAGGCATACGATGACATTTAGTATTTAAAAAGTGGTTTTTTACCTTCAAAGTGCTAAAGAAAGAAGTATGCAAGAAAATTCCAGGCCTGTCTACAAAATTCTGACTTATTTGAAGTACTGAAACATCAAGAATGCAGGGGACAAAACAACTTAAATGTAAAAGGCCCCACTGCTATAAAAGACCGGTTTCATAATATTTTCTCCATACAGCGTGTGTCACATCCATCCTGTCATGTCCGTATCTGGGATAACTTCCATCATCCGCGTTCATCCCATCAACTGGCCATAATGCACAGTGAGTAGAACTGATTCTTTTAAATCAAATTGCTTGATATAATCTCCATAAACCAAAAGCTGATCACAAAAGTTACATATAATTCCTATTAATGTAGCTGCATGTTTACTAGAATATCTTAGCTCATTTTTAGACTATTAGAAATTGGTGTAATTTACTTTGACTAATCTAAGATAGAAATACCATCTCAGTATGACGCAATACCTCTTTTGTCAAAACAACCCTGAGTTTTGAGTACTGGGATATAAACTGTAAAACTGAAAACACTCCAAAATATGTTAGCTAATATCAGTGTCCCTATAAGTACAATGCTTTTCCTCTCTGCTAACAATACATGTGGAAGTACCTCCTCTTCAGCAAGAGAGGAGTTGTGGGAAGAATATCCAAATAAGGAACTCCTGTCTTAAATCTTGGTAAGAATTTATTTCAAAATACGTTGGTATTTTAGTGTAAAAATGATGTTTGTCCATCTTTTGAGTAAAATCAAGAGTGCAGAAAAATGCAGTATTTCCACCTTGTAGGTTTAGTAGCGTGAGGGGAGTGCTACAATCCTTGGCTTGAGGAACAGAGCATTAATCTACAGTTCTGACTGTACAGAGTCCTGCATGTTGTATTGGAAGTCAAATAAGGGGCTTTTTTTTTTAAGTTAGGTGTGTTTATGCTGCATTAAAAATTTCTATATATTGAAAGCAGCTCTACATCTCTTAAAAATATTCACTAAATAATAGCTGAATATGAAATAAAGCAATTTCCAGTGGTGATGATATTCTCACAGTAGTATATAATCTAACTTCTTAATACTAACAGCTAAGTCTTTAAAACACTATCCTGTTAAACATTGCAATTTACTGAAATTATAGAGGGAAAAAAAGATAATTATATCAACTGCCACTAAAGCTTGAAAGAAGTTATTAATAAAAATACAGGCTCTCACAGGGCTAAACTCCAGTATTGTTTCTACTTTTATTTGATTTTTTGTTTGTTTTGGGAGGAGGGGATGCATTTTGGCTCTAAACCTAGTACTAAAACAAAATATTCATGCTTTTTGAAGAGATACTTAAACTAAAATTATGCTTAAGATCTGGTTTACTCATAAAATGCCTGCCATGTGACATCAGTAAATCAGCATATATCCATCCAGCTCTGTGTAGCACTAAGTTCTCTGCGTGAGCAGGTAAGACAACCCACATCCCGAGTGCTATGACGAGCGCCTTATTTGTTTGTCCAGATGGCACTATGCCCTTCTGAGATGATGTCTCCCAATCACTGGCCCCTATGTGACCAATGCCACGAAGAAACTGGGACAGGACTTGTCTTAACATCTATTTCCTAAAAGTGAATATAACCACTGCATTAACTGTATGTTCCAAATGAAACCCAAAAAACCCTTTTTACCTTTAGTAATCATGAGAAGTCTTTACATATTTATATGATGGATGTATTGTACATTATATGCATGGCCTGTTTATACTGTTTTCAAAAAGAGAGTATGGTCTTAAACTAATCGACAGGGATGCATCGATCTTCTTTCCAATGGTCCTCATATTTCCTTAAATGATGGCATCATGTTCATCACTGTAATATATCAAAGGTTAAAATTACTTTGTTTTGTATTTGTATCAAAACTACTTATATATACATATTTTAAAGTAACAAATAACTTCAAGTTTTAGAATTAAAACTAAGTGGTTAAGGATTGGAATAGTGGTTCAGGCTGTCAAACCTAGACTTAAATTTTTGCTCTGCCTCTTGGGGCTGTGTGACTTTTCACCAGTTAGCGATTATAACCCTCTTTAAAAAAGAAAACCACCATCATTTCTTGAGCATTTACTACGGGCCAGATGTTATACTACAGACTTCACATCCAAAACTCATGTAATCATCTCAGTAGCCCCGTGCAGAGGACACTTTTATTTACTTGATTTATTCGTTCTCCCATTTGCACAGGACCTGAAGTTAAGCAAGCATGTGAACTCCCATCCTGACCCCTGGGCACTGTGCTGCCTCGTTTACATAAGCACGGGAAGGCACCCTGCTAGTCAGCAGTCGACCAGGCCTAAAACTGTTGGTCTGGCCAAAAAAGTCCATCTGGTTCTATTTTTACCAATACCTTTATTGATTTGGATATTTTGGCTATGTCTTGTTATTGGCTAGAGGGTAGAGGCCAGGAGTAGAGGCCAGGAAGAAGTGCTGCTAAACATCTATCTTCCAATGCAAAAGACAGCCCCATAGCAAAGAATTATTTGGCTAAAATGTCAACAATCCCAAGAAACTTTGCAAACCACTTGACATGTTCTATCAGTGACAGCACTTTCTTCATACACTGCACAAATCTTTTTGGACTTTCAAGTGTGTTTTTACCTCTCTTGAAATAATAAAGCATAATATGCAGAAAATGTGACGTATTTTCTTCCATTTTCAATATTAAACTGGCTACACAAAAGTTTTGATAACAAAACCAGTTTTGGTAAGTTTTTTAAATATGTATGCTCTTATGATAGCTGTCACAATACAATCTAACAAAACTATTTCAAATGAAGTTAAAGACAACTAAGCATCACTACAGCCATCACACAGAAAAAAACAAACTTCCCAACCAACCCAGTAAGTCTGTCCCAAACCCTATGTCTTAACTATTTAATTCCATTGTTTCTCCATGCAACTCTAAGAAACACAGAAGCTAACATTTTAATCAGTTAATATCCAATAAGTGAAAACTAGAAATGTTCATTATTACTGGATATAGAGGGTCTCAGTTTCTTTCTTTTTAAATTTTTTTAAAAAAAGATTTTTATTTATTTCCAGAGAGAGGGGAAGCAAGGGAGAAAGAAACATCAATGTGCAAGAGACATTGATTGGTTGCCTCTCACATGCCCCCAAACAGGGACCTGGCCCACAACCTGGGCATGTTCCTTGACTGGCAATCGAACTGGCAACCCTTTGGTTCAGAGGCCAGCACTCAATCCACCGAGCCACAGCAGCCAGGGTGAAGGTCTCAGTTTCTTTACTGGGACAAACATTAAGTCCTTACTCATGGAACGCCATTTTTTATAATTTCAAAGGAACTACTAGCTTTAAAATGCACATTTTTTTATATAGCACTAAGAAAAATACAGGCAATTAAACTAAAACACAATGCTTTCTCATCCCACGGACTGCAAGAGATATCCTAATTTCAGAGGTGTTAAAACATGGTAAAAACCAAAAATGTTTACTTAGACTCAATTAAATATGTTTTTTTTTACCACCTACTGGTTCCTATATGAAAATAAAATCCCTTTTAGAGTCAAAATGCTTCTGCCAGCAGTTTCCTCCCAGCAAGTGGGGAGTCTGGACCCTGACTTATTCCCCAGGGCACACGGCACTGTGTGGTCATGTATGTCTAAGGGGAAAATTAGCCCATAAGCTGAACTTGCATACTTCATGGTTAAGGCAGTTTAAAAGGAAAATGCATATTTTAATTTAACTGCTACACTATTTTATAGCCTCCACTATATGAATACATATTGATGTTATGAAATACAATTGGCATTTAATTTACTATAATCAAAATGTGCCTTCTGTTTAATTGCTTAAATTTACTAAGAAAACAGATGATAAATATTTCTAGAAAGAGTGATTTTTAAAAATTACTGCAAATTTTAAAGGCTCAACTAGTATTTCTCAAATGTTTCTTACATGGAAAGTCTGTGTGGGATGCATATGTTTACAACAACTTAAAACAAATCTGGGAGAACCATCATCTATTCTACGGTATTATACATGAACATCAGAAGAAGGAATTGGTACTTGTACATATAAGACTCAAATCTAAAAGGATTTTGTTGGTGTAACAAAAGCTGGGAAGCACTACCTCCAAAAATTGTAAGGCCTATACAATTTATGAAGGAGGAACATGGTTTGAAGATCAGGACTTGACATAAAGCTCATCTAAAAAGTAGTTTTACCACAAATAAAATGATAATGTATGTTACACTAACAAGTCATTTGATACAGTAAATTATCAGGGAAAACGTGGCTGTCAGAAAAATTTCTTTAGTTGCTTTGCCTTTGTCATAGAAAGCAAAAACCATGTTTTTACCAAGGATGTTATTTTGGCGCTACCGATAAACACAAGACATGCTTGGCCAACAGCCACACAAACCCTGATCTGGTGTTCCTTATGATTACAGCTACAGTCAAGTAAAAAGGGTTGGCTTAACTTGGCTCTGTGGTAAAATAATGTATAACATTAAAAACTACAAACACATTACCAGGTACATACATCTATTTCTGTGTGTAAATAATTGTAATCAGAAGCTGAACATACGTAATTTACTTTGGGCATAGAAGATTAATGGGAACATAACTCATAAATCTATAAATTACTCATCTCTGAGAAGAACATCGCCCCCACTACTTTGATATTTTGTCATGATATTTAAATAAAGAAATACAGAGATCATTAAAATTAAAGTCCTGGGCAATCAAAACTCACATGGTTCTATACTGAATGCCTCTTCTTGAATAATACACTTTGCATCCAATGTAAAGAACAGATAAAATTCCCAGTGTTAATGCAATACCACCGACAAAGCTGCCAATATCAAATTTTGATCCTTTGTTTTCTTTAGAATTTATCGTTGCTGTTACTGAAAGAAAACAAAACAAAACAGGCTTTAGTACTTTTAAAAACCTAAAATTGTAATAACCTAAAATTTTCTGAATCTCTATATAAATGAACATGGAATTGGGGACAAGGGGGCCTCTAAACATAGAAAGGTGCTCCCTAGCATCTCTAGAGACTTGCCTGGCTCTAGTTTTTTTTTCGGTCTACCCAACACCTCTCTCAATGAAAAACCCCCAGTGCCTGCAACCCCAAGACCTGAAGGTGTCTGATGGTGCTGGACTTGGACAGTCTCTCACCAAAACCCCGGAGGCAGCAAGACTTCATGTTTTTTTCCCTTATAAATCCTATTCAGAGTTTATGCCTTAACAAAAGAAGTCTGGGTAACACAGCTATAATTTTGAAATTGGATCCAATTTGAATAAATGTTTCTAACTGAAATTTCTCCTTTTGAATAAATTAGAAGTCTAAACTATTTTGGTTTGAATCATGGCAAGAGCCACTGAGATAATATGTTTGATTTCAATAAATAAATTGTAGCAATAAAGAAAATAAACTAGATGGAGTAAAATATATAAAAACACACAAAAGAAACCATAAAGTCTGCTATTTGTTCTCATGAATGTACTAGCCCTTGAAAAGAAGAATAATGTTGGATAACTTAAAAAGACAATCTTCTTAAAGGTTTTTGAACTCATGGTTTCACAAACATCATGTTTTTAAAAATGCAAAAAGTAACAAGTGCTGAGACTCTGAAACGACATACATAATTTTATCTAATACCATTTTAAAATATCTTTATGGTACAAATTAATTAAAATCACAGTTCCCTGTGATTTTGGTTTGGAAATCACATAGACTGAGCCTTCCTAATTCCTTCCTACAGTGAGGAAAGGCATTAAAGGTATGACAAATTTTCAAACCACAAAATAAAGTCCCCTGTTAGGATAAATTACTTATTCACAAATGGGTCTTATATAGTCATTATTTGGTATAATTAAGTTGGAAAACCACTTTTTTTTTTAAAGGGACAAAAACACTAAGTCAATCAGCTCTTTTCCTGATTTCTACAACTAATTTATTTAATAGGAAATCATTGCCTAAATATCTGTTATTTATTTTTGCAGAATGGAATGATGATATACATGTGGCACTTAAATTAACAACTATTTTCAGCACAGGAAAAGTAGATCTTTTTTTTTTAATTCTTTTTTTTTTATTATTAATCATTGTTCATATACAGTTTTCTCCTTTTTACTCCCAATCCAGTTCCCCCTCCCACCTGCCCCCCTTCCCTCCCATTACCACCCTCCCCTTAGTCTATGACCATGTGTCCTTTAAGTTTGTTCCTGTGAACACTTCCCGCTGTCCCCTTAAATTCCCTCTTCTCTCCCCTCCGGTCACCATCAGCCTGTCCTCTATTTCAGTGTCTTTGGTTACATTTTGCTTGTTTCTTTGTTTTGTTATTTAGGTTCCTGTTAAAGGTGAGATCATATGGTATTTGTCTTTCACTGCCTGGCTTGTTTCGCTTAGCATAATGTTTTCCAGCTCCATCCACGCTGTTGCATAGGGTAGGAGCTCCTTCTTTCTTTCTGCTGCATAGAATTCCATCGTGTAAATGTACCATAGTAAAGTAGATCATTTTTAATACATACTTGTTACTGATGAAGAAACAGATGTCACCGAGCTGTTGTGGTTTGTGGTCATCGTGGATGTGGACACCTGTGATGTGTTTTGTGAAATGCTTGTTATCTTGGGTGTAGACTTTAAGGTGGTAGATGTTGTATTTATTGAGACCCCTGGAGGTGTTGTCACTTGGGAAGTTGTGGATTTCAAGGTGGTGACTGTCACATTTTTTGTGACTGAAGTAACTGAGGCTGTTGAGGATTTCACTGTGGATTTCGAGGTATTGACTGTCACTGACGAAACTGAAGTTGTAGATGGTTTCACGGTCGTGCTAGAAGATTCATTCCTATTGTTGGCAGGCACAGGTGGGACACTCCCTGTAAGAAAATCAAAAAACATTAAAACTGGACTTCCAACCAAGATGGAGGTGTAAGTAGATACACTTTGCCTCCTTGTACAATGAAAAGGACAACAAATTTATAAACAAAAACAACCAAAACTGACAGAAAATTGAACTATATGGAAGTCCAACAACTAAAAAGTTAAAGAAAAAATATTCATCCAGACCAGTAGGAGGGGCGGAGATGGGCAGCAGGGGTAGAGAGGACACACGACAAGGCAGTGGCTGGAGGACTGGGTAAGGCGGTGGCTGGCCGTTCCGCATTTGTGTGCAGATAAACTGGGAGGAACAACTGGGGAGTGAGACAGACTGCACAAGCCAGGGTTCCAGTGCAGGGAAATAAAGCCTCAAAATCTCTGGCTGTAAAAATCTGTGGAGGTTGCAGAGGCAGGAGAAACTCCCAGCCTCACAAGAGTTCGTTGGAGAGACCCGCAGGGTTCTAGAACATACAGAAACCTACCCACCTGGGAATCTGCACAAAAAGGGCCCAGTTTGCTCATGGGTAGCGAGGGAAGTGAATGAAAGCTGGCAGAGAGCCAAGCAAGCGGCATTGTTCCCTCTTGGACCCCTCCCCCACATACAGCAACGCAATGCAGCGATGTGAGCTGCCTCACCCTGGTGAATACCTAAGGCTCTGCGCTTTACAATGTAATAGATGTGCTGAGACAAAGATATGTGGCCCAAATGAAAGAACAGATTAAAAAAATCTAGAAAAACTAAGCAATGAACAGATAGCCAACCTATTAGACACACAGTTCAAAACACTGTCAATGATGATGCTCACAGAAATGGTTGAGTATAGTTGCAAAATAGAGGAAAAAGTGAAGGCTATGCCATGAAAAATATACAGGTAACCAACAGTGAAGGGAAGGAAACCAGGACTCAAATCAACAATTTGGAGAAGGAAGAAATAAACATCTGACCAGAACAGAATGAAGAAACAGGAATTAAAAAAAAAAAATGAGGAAAGACTGAATAACGGCTGGGGCAACTTTAAACGCTCCAACATCTGAATCATAGGGGTGCCAGAAGGAAAAGAGGAAGAGCAATAAATTGAAAACTTATTTGAAAAAATAATGGAGGAGAACTTTCCCAATCTGGTGAAGGAAATAGACTTCCAGGAAGTTCAGGAAACCCAGAATGTCCCAAAGAAGTTGGACCCAAGGAAGCACACACCGAGGCATCATAATTACATTACCCAAGATTAAAGGTAAGGAGAGAATCTTAAAAGCAGCAAGAGAAAAGGAGACAGTTGCCTACAAAGGAGTTCCCATAAGACTGTCAGCTAATTTCTCAAAAGAGACCTTACAGGCAAGAATGGGCTGGAAAGAAGTATTTGAAGTCATGAAAGGCAACGACCTACATTCAAGACTACTCTATCCAGCAAAGCTATCTTTTAGAATGGAAGGGCAGATAAAGTGCTTTCCAGATAAGGTCAAGTTAAAGGGGTTCATCATCACCAAGTCCTTATTATGTAAAATGTTAAAGGGACTTATCTAAGAGACAGAAGATCAAAAACTATGAACAGTAAAATGACAACAAACTCACAACTATCAACAACTGAATCTAAAAACAAAAACTAAGCAAACAACTAGACTAGGAACAGAATCACAGAAATGGAGAACACATGGGGGGGTTAGCAGCAGGGAGGGAAGAGAATGAGGGGAAAAAGTACAGGGAATAAGGAGCTTAATTGGTAGGTACAAAATAGACAGGTGGAGGTTAAGAATAGTATAGGACATGGAGAAGCCAAAGAACTTATATATACAACCCATGGACTTGAACTAAGGGATAGGAATGCTGGTGGGAAGGGTGTGCAGGGGAATAAAGGGGAGAATAAAAATTGGACAACTGTAATAGCATAATCAATAAAATATGCTTAAAAAATACTTTAAGACTGGAGCTATGACGTGGGGAAACTAAAACCCCACATCACTGTGACTTTCATGGTTCCATAGAAACAGGTCTAGCAAGTATGGCAGTGTGAGAGATACTTAGTCCATTAATAAATACTCAACAGGAATCAAGCCTACATTTAAGAATTTCTGTGAAGATATGAAAAAAAGGATTGAGTCCCTTCAATACAGGGACAATGTCTTAACCATTTCTAGCTGAAGATCTTACCATACTGCCTGTCACAAATATTAGTTGAATAGATGAGTAAATTAATGGATATGAGAAAGGTTTTTGAAATTAAAAGTTTAAAGTTTCTCTGCCACATCCTTCCAATGAGCTTTGAGGACAACCAGTAGTTGCATGTTTCAAATTCCTCTTACATTTTCTCCACTTTGGGTCTCAATGTGTGTTGTCTTCCACTCAGTATTATCTAATATTTTTAAAAGGCCTAAGAAATTACTTTTGTACTATAAAGACCACTAAGTTATAACATTCCAGCATATGATACAAATGCTATGAACTTGAACTAATCTTTTACTATTAAATTCTGAATGCTTATATATAGATAAAATATGGTTTAACATTGAAATAATCATATTTTATTTTCAAACTAGTGGGTGAATTCTATTGCAGTGAAATTAAATACAGCAAATAACTAGCATTTGTATCATATCTTTAGTATAAAATGATCTCTGCAGAGTAAAACAATGAACACAATGCTGCTTTTGGATTCAACACACAAACATAGCCCGATCCCCAGTCCCTGCCAAAATAAGAAATTTTATACAAAGTCACATGGGCAAAAATAGGGAGGTATTACAGGTTAGTTCTCCACTAAGAAAATCCAAATGTGTTAAAGGAACAACTAAGCAGCCAAAAATACAAATTTACAGAAGAGGCAAGTACATTTTGTATCAAACTGTGTTTCATGATTAAATGTGTAAACTGTAATGCCCGGATTTGCTCCTTGAGGTCAGAACTCATATCCAGTATTCCTTCTCCCTTGTCTGTAATATTGTTACAGAACAAAGGGCCAAGGGGGGGCACATGGATATACTATTACCAAAAGGAACACCCCGCCCCCCACCCCCCCTTCATTATGTCCACCGCCTTACAGGAAAGACATCTCTCAATGCCAGAGATTTGTGAAAAGGAAAGGAAATGTTTACTTAATGCTATACAGACTTAAAGTAGTGACCTAATGTCTTCATTAAAATATCAAAGTCCTTTAGGATACCCACAGCTGCACACAGTGCTTCCTTCTCCCCCTGCCCTAATTCGGGGTACTGTATCTCTGGAAAAAAAGCAAACATCTGGGATCCAGGCTCCTGACACAGTCAGCTGTGTCTCCATCCAGGCAGGATCTGAATTAATCCAAAGCCATGTGGCACCTTCTCATGGCCTACTGGCCTTCTTTCAGGCAAAGTCTCTCCTGCTTCCCAAGCCACTCAGTCAAAGGGAGCACTCCAAAACCATGTGGTCCTCTTCTACCAAAGCTGCAGGGGCCCCTACTCTGGCCAAAACTGCATGGTTCTTCTCTCCACCAAAGCTGCGGGGGTCTGCACTCTGGCAAAACCATGTGGATCTCCCTGCAAAGCTGCAGGGAAGGGGAGGTCACCACTCTGCCAAAGTTGAGTGGCGATTCTCTGCTAAAGCTGCATGGTGGTTCCCCCTACTAAAGCTGCAGGGGTCCCCACTCTGCCAGAAGTGCATGGCCCTCCCCTACATGGCCACAGCTGCATGGTCCTCTCTCTAATGGCTGCCGTGTCTGGGTTTAAATCCCGGTGCCAATCTTCCTCCACACCCCCATTTCTGACTCCTCCTACAATCAGTAACACCTGCCAGCATTCCTGTATTCCAAGTTTACTGGGCTGCCATCCTGAGTCTGGGCAGGTGTGCCCCCATGTCATGGAGCCAATCTTCTACAAGCTCCCACGTAGGTGCTGTAACTCAGGGGACCTGCCCCCAACTCAGTTACATCTTGGGGGAAAGTTCCTTCCATCCCCCTGGCTCAGAGCATGGCCACAGCTATTTAACATATCTACATGACCAGCCAAAGGCTACAGATATGTTAAATGACCATGCCATGGATTAGCTGCAAAGCTGTGGCTGCACACAACAGCCCTGCATGTTCTGGCTCCATGTGTTCCTTCCCCCAGCTCACACCTGTGGGGGAAGGGGTGAGGACATCTTATATGTCTTTCTAGTATTTCCTAGACACCATGAGTTCTGGACCCCATTCCAAATCTTTATTTGGGCCCCGCCTTGGCTGCACCCTGTAACAATATAAGTAAGTGATCACTTGTGCTCCACTACGAATGATCCTATGCCACCAGGGAAGTCTGGATGTCTTCCCTTTCCCTTAACTGTCCAGTTACTGACCAGCAACTCCAGGGGGTGGCTGGGTTAGCACCTGCAGAGATACCTGCAGAAGAGACTGCCTAGGGCTTGCAAAGGATTAGGTCCTATCTGACTTTGCCAGTCTTAGCCATTGTCTCCTGAAGGCTCTGAGAAGCACAAGTTGTAAAGGTTTTTGGGGTGTGGGTTGAGCAAATAGGTGAGGGGGTTGAAAAGGTATAAACTTCCAGTTATAAAATAAGTAAGTCATGGGGATGTAATGTACAGATGGTGACTATAATTGATGATACTATATTGTATGTTTGAAAGTTGCTAAGAGAGTAGATCTTACAAGTTTTCATCACAAGGAAAAAAGTCTGTAACTATGTATGATGATGGATGTTAACTAAATTTACTGTGGTTGATCATTTTACAAATATCAAATCACTATGTTGTACACCTAAATCTAATGTTATATGTCAATTATACCTCAATAAAATTTAAAAGTACTAAAATCAAAAGAAATACAAAACAACAAGACCAAAAGAAGGTAAGTTATTGGAGAGTGTCACTGTGTTATGTGTCTACCCCCATCTCTGCCCCTGGAGAGAAAAAGGAGAACACTACCCTTTATTTCAGACAAAGCTGGAAAGGCAATAAACTCTTTGACATTGATTGGTCTTAGCAGTTTCTTTTGGATAGGTCTTTCTGGGCAAGGGCAACAAAAGAAAAAATAAACAAATG